CCCTGTAAATCACTTTAAGGAGTCAAATATCATCTCGTAATGGGAAGGCTAATATTTGATCAGAATTTTTGATTATTGATTAGAAGGTGCTCCTGAAATTTTTGACTGAGCTCCTAAATTTTTTTTAAAAGTTTTTCACAAGTGTTACTAAAAAGAAAAGTAAGCGTAGAGTAGGGCTGCACGATAAATCGCATGCGATATTTAACGCGCATCTTGTCAGTAAAGCCGTTCTGTAATCAGCGGTAAATCTCCATCACGTGCGGGCTTTCACATGAAGCAGCATTTACTACACAGAGCCGTTGTTCACCGACAAGCTGCGCAAAACATGCGTAAAATATGATCGTAGAGCCCTGTTTAACCACTTTTTATTCATTTAAAAATTGAGAAATTCTTTCAAATTTAATTATTTTACAAGAATTACAGCAAAAACTAGTTTGATGCAAGAATATATATTTTTTTATCAATATTTGAGAAATTCTAAATTCCTTTGAACACGACTGCTCAAAATGGTCTAAATTTATGAAACCTACACATTCAAAACCTCATTACTCTGAAATTTTTAATGTAAATGTTAAGTGTAAGTGAAATGTTAAGTACTGTAAGAGGTCTTTCATGACGCTACATATGCTGTTGAATTTGAGCGGTGCTTGATATAAAATAAATGGTGCTTTAAAAAGTCCTTTTGTTCTGGAAGGGAACTACTCCTTTAAGAAGACGTGTAATAAGCAAGTCATGTAATAAAGCAAGTCATACATTTATGATGCATCAATGAGATATTTTTGAGGCCCTGTTGTTGTTTGGGGAGAAAAGCTTATTCAGTGCTTCAGCTGTTTAACAATTCTTCAGAAATTATCCTAAAAACAACAGCATATGGGTTTAGAATGACAATGAGCAAATAATGTTTTAAGAGTTAATTACATTTTTTGGGGTGAACTGTTTCTTTAAATTTGAAGTATGTGCTGAAAATACTGAATGTGTGAACTTGTAGAACTGAATATGGAAAAGTCCCAAAGTGGAAAATCTTTGAAGCAAATGGAAATGTAAGCATGGCTCTTGTGAGGTCTGAACTGTAACAAAATTTCCTAAAAACGCTATGTGAAACTTGTCCTTCATGACCTTCTCAAATCCCAGTCTTGGGTCCTTTGATTTATGGTGCATTCACACCATGTTGTAATTACTAGATTACAACCTGGGATGTGTGTACTCGGATCTGTACATGTCCTCGGACTCGGGATTGTGTGTTTCTGTGGCAAAACTTCTAATAGCTAAATAATACGGTGTAATTTTGAGTAATCAATAGACAAAACTGCAATATAGCAAATAATGCAAATGTTAATAAATATTAATAAAAATTCGGAGTTTACAAATTGGAATTACGAGTTCAACGAGGACGTGAACACTTTTTACAAGTCAGTCAATCTCGCAATTATGGTGCTTCCAGCATGAACGCATGTTTAGATTGGGAATTTTGATAATTATGGGGTCAATCATCTCAAATCCCTAAAGTCTCTATTTTCACATAATGAGGTGAAAGTGCTGATCTTGAGGATTTTATCTGATCCAAAGCAACCTGTTTGCCATCAGTATTGAGATTATACATGTTATTGTGCACATCAGTCATCATCTGATTGAAGGAATGTTATGGGTTCAATACAATACTCTGCAATACTCATATTGATTTCTACAGAAATTTTATTTTGACCTGTCCCTCTTTTTGTCTTTTTAAAAGGGGTTCCTGTAGGACTTAAAATGTCTTAATTTGCCCTCAGTATTTTTGTCGTTTTCCATTAGAAATATCAAAAAAGCTTAAAAATAACATAGACATTTACATTGAGGACATACTGATGCATTGTGTTCCCTTCAGTTTATTCCTTGAATTTTCTTTACTTGGTCTTAAAAAGGTCTGAAGTCTTCATTCAAAAATTCACCTTCATAAAACCTGCGGAAGCCCTGTTAAACCAAAAAATGTTAGAAATGTGAAGCTTATATTTTTATTAAAGCACTTAGAGGAATTATTCAGTTAAACCCTGTTTATAATTTGAGCTGTATAGTTGGTAAAATCGTTTTCAGCTGGGATCACTTTTCTGGGTGAATAAACGCCTGATTACAGATTGCCAACGTAATGTCTGTGCTGCACAGATACTTCCATCATGTCTCATTGTGTGCATCATGACAACCAAATTGAAAGATTGGGTACAAGTGATTCTATCATCTTAGTTTCATACCAGTAGGGTTGAAGCCTTTTGACTATTTGAGAGCAGTGTGTATGTTAACGTTTACTGCCTGACCCTGTGTATTTCCATTCCAACTGTTTAAAACTGAAAAAGGCACCATTTTTTCCCCCTGGTAATCAACAATGTGCCACAGATATGCTGTTGGTAGAGCTTCACTTTGAATTTGGATCATGTTTTCAACATTTTCTCTTCTTTCCTAGTCATTTTCTGCATATTACAAAGGTGGATTTGAGCAGAAGATGACCAGACGGGAAGCCAGCCTTATTCTCGGGATCAGGTAATTGTGGGCTAAACAAAGCCCTAAACCACTGCAATTCCTCTTACTGAATTCTCTCATTATGAGTTGTCATGGAAGAAAACAAAGGTGTTTTACAGTATATACACATACTGCATCACTGCGCTTCCCAGAAGAGCATGCGGTTAACTCTGGGGGCAATTCTTTTGGTTTGAAGCCGGTCGTCATCTCCTGTCGTCACGGCTTTGATCCTATTGTCTAATGGGGAAAAGTCTCAGCTGTGTCTCTAACTTTGTAATCTCCTTTTTCAGTAGACCACCCTCCTTTTCCTAGGAGGGTATATTTCTCTAAAAATTTCCCTTCAACAAAAGTTGCCAGGGTCCCACACCAGGTGTGACTCACACCGTGCAGGCATCACATCCTGTGTGGCGGTGCTGCCGAGTGCCTCATTTCTTTGTGTTGTCAATCAAACTGGACTAATGTTTTCATAAAGCTGAACCAGACTGTAAATAATATTTCTTGGATGTAACTCGGTCAACCGCATTCACGCTCATAAAACGGTACTGATTCGAGTTAATAGTTTTTGTTATTCCCTTCTCATCTGTCTTTAGATTTACTATGGTGTCTGTCACTCACAGCTGAAATAACTGGCCTCAGTAATGTTACTGTTTGCTTTGATATACTTTGATCTCTCTACACCCATGGTAAATTCAGCTAATTTGTACAGTTATTTGTGCTCTTTAAAGGGATAGATCATCTAAAAAATGAACTTTTTATCATTTTTTTATATAAATTAATACTTTTAGCGAGCAAGGATTCAATAAATTGATCATTAGATTAATATTTCAAGTAGTACTGTCAAACGATTAATCGCGATTAATTGCATCCAAAATATAAGTTTTTGTTTACACAATATATGTATGTGCATGGGCGACATTAGGGGGGGGGGGG